GATAATAGAGATAACCATCGCAAAAAAAAGACAACAGAATATTGAATGTTTTTCTTTGATTATATAAGTACATTAATCTAGATATATAGTATTTTTAAAGCTAACAAGGAAAACTCTTTATGTTCGTCTAATACTCCATGTGTACAATATATAAACCAGAAACAAGCAAAGAAAAAAGCATACTAAAGAGCAAACAACATTTGCCAGTGTTGACACTTCTTGATTTCATTTAGGTAACTTAACATCAACACTTGATGAAAGCAACAATAAATCTTTATGAGATTACTTTAAAAAAAAAGACCAAACATCTTTACTCAATACCCTTCAAACTGATACTTGATTGATTTGTCCTAACTGAACTTTTCTATATCCGACCCTTACATAATTTGGTTTTTATTTACCAACTAATTATGAGAAGCGAAATGAGTAACAAAGATAGTTTATTGTTTTTTCTATATGTTGACAGAATGAGTGACATATGTATAGTGGTAGACATAAGTTTAGAACAGCTGTATTTTTTTAGTTTTCTTCCGGACGGTGACAGTTGAGGAAAATTTGAAAAAACATTTGAATAGCTGAAAAGATTGTCTATCAGGATTGACGAATCTAAAAACTTAAATAAAACTTCTCGGATGATGGTGCCTGAAGAACCAAGATCTCAAAAAATAGGTCTTCGGTATCTATTTAAAGCTTTTTGAAATAGTTCTATTTGACAGAATAAAATGAAATGTCTCCGCTGTTTTCATGACCTTCCTTAATTGAAACTTTTCATAAAAACATAAGATAAAGGCTTTTTAGGTCTTCTGTAAAATAAATACAGTGCGATAAAGGAACGTCATGGATAGAGCGAAAACATCTCATTTTATTCTATCAAATACAACCATTTCTAAATACCATTAAATAGATGCTAGAAAACTTATTATGCAAATCGTGGTTTTCTAGACATACTTATCCAAACACTTTTATTAGAGTTTTTAGATAAGAAAAACCCTGATAGAGAATTTTTTCAGCTACTCAAATGCTTTTTTAAGATTCTTCCTAGCTATGATCATCGCGAAGAATACTCAAAAATACAACTGTTCCTAAATTCCTGCCCGTCATTATAAGTAACAAAGAAAGCAGATAAATTACCAGTGCAAAACGATAGACTTTATTTTTTTACTAGAGAATTTTTAATCGTATGAACGAATTTCGATGATCAGTTATACTTTGTTTAGATCGATGTTTTGCGTTACAAAATAGCTTGCGACTTTCAATTATTATCCTCATTGAAAGATGAATCAGGGTTCAATTTAGAATCGACTAAATAAACATGTGTTCAATTCAGAAACAAATAAAATAAGAAAATCTATTTTAATTGTCAATCACGTACGAGTTGAATATACACTAGACATGTGCGAGACGAAGTTTCTTTTATCCCACTTCCGATTGTTGTCCTAGTGAATCTCGTATGTTCAGATCGTGGCCATCGGAACTGAAATTAATCCTGTACATATATGTCTAATGTAGACTCGTTGATATCTATTACTTTCTAACTTACGAAAAAATATGTGATAAATATTCTGCAATCCATATTATTGTCTGAATGTAAAGACAAATTTTATTTATGACGAACAAAGTTACACAAATAGTAGAAAAGAAAAAGAATCATAAAAGCAACAAACAAAAAAACGATATCTTCAAAGTTGATATTGTTACGAATGACTTAGTATTCTTTTAAATTGTCAAATTTATCTTTCAGATCTATTTCTATAAATCGATGATAAGTAAAATATCAGATGACAAGTCAGCAATATACTATTACTTTAAACTTGCATCGTCATGAGAAAAACTTATCATCAATGTATTGATATACATAAGAAAGATAAATTTCAATTTAGAAAAATTCTAAGACAAAAAGAAAAAGCTTTTAGAAGTTAAGACGACCGGCATTATTAAACTCAGTATTTGTAGCAAATGTTTGTAACATTTGTATGAATTCATTAGCTGATGGTAAACGACCAGTTTCAAGTTTTGACCATAATGGTACATCATTAATAGATATTTCAAATGCACCCGTTGAAATTAAATATGATTCTATTGAATTTGAAAAGAAAAATACCATTAAACATGCATACATTTTGTTTTGTAATGCCCATGAATAAGCTGCTGGTGTTGGAATATTAAGAAGAGTAAAAGGATTTTGACCAAAAAGAAGACAAACAAGTAATGCCATTTTAACCACAGATAAAATACGAGCAAGTAAAGCTTTGATAGGTGGTGGTGGATAATTTTCACCAACAACTTCCATATTTGGGTAATGTGTTCGAACAAGTTGTGCAAATTGTTCAAACACATTTCGGTACCTAAGAAAAAAAAACAAAGTTTTTGTTTTTTGGATGAGATTAAATTATAAATGAAAAATAAAAAAAATATTATTTACCCTCAGCTATGGCAAAAAAGAAATTTTATTGTTGGTATTGTTTGCTTTTTCATTTTAGGTGGTGGAATAGTTGAAGATTCTTCATATACTGGTTTAGAATGACTATTATATGATGTTGAAGTAGATTCACTAGTATTTGTTTCAGTTGATGTTGAACTTAAATATGATCGTGTTAGATCATAACACGTTGATAAAAGAACAAGACTCAGACCGAATAGTAGCTTTCGGTCGATCATGTTCAAATACGTAAAGAAAAATGATACCCGGTGATCTTTTTTAATATAATAAATAAATGACAAAAAAAAACATGTAAAATATGAACCAATCATTTGTTAATAAGATTACGTAAAATATGTATGTTAACAAACGACATCTGCAGGATCATTAGCAAAGGCATTACAATGCTTTTGTGTGTTTTCATTTATTTTGAAAATAGAGATTTACAGATATTTTGAAATAGGTTTACAAAAAAATTGACTCTATCAATCTGAAGGATTAGCAATAATAGAATTTACGAATTCGATTATCTAGATCCAAAGTGAAATTTACTTGAACATACTTCGGTATGTGACAAAGGATTTATAGATGAAGAAATTCTTTATATTTCAGAATTTTTCTGATATCTTGTTGCTATTAAAAAATTGATCGCTGAATGATGACAATATATTTTGGCTTTTCATGTAATATTTTTTTATTGTTTATTGCTTCCACAATCATAATGCTTTTTTCGATTATATTATCTTTACTTGACAATGAAATGAATACTTACCTGTCAGAATTTATTCAATTATGAATCATTACTATTGTATATTTTTTCAAAGAATATCATGAATTTAAAATGCAATAAATTCATGTCATTTTTATTGATATTTTTTTTTTTTGACAATTTATTTTTTAAATAGATGTTTTAAAGGATCGAAAAGAATGTCATTTTTCTTTTATTCGACTTAACTTTATAATAAGCAAGTAAATGCAATCGATTAAGTGCATAAATAAAAGCTCATGTATACATGTATATTTACTTAGATATTTTCGTAATGGCCTTTGTGTATTAATGGTTTTTTAACATATATTGTTCATATGGAATAACATACTTTGATTATGTCAATAGGAACAAATATTATTTCATTTTTTACCCCCTTCTTTCTTTTTTGTATGAAAGAATTTAAAAGTTTATTAACAACTTCTTTGATTTCTTTTTTCAACCTCATTTATTAAAGAACGCAAAAAAAATATTTTTATGAAATCAACGAGAAAAAAAAGGCGACATACACTAATTATTGTTGAATGTGCTTGGCACCTACTTGATTTCTTTTTTCTTATGTTTTTTACTAGAGCTTCGATCATCTTCAGTTTTTAATAGAATGACAGAAATAGGTATACGATTTTCAATTACTAATTCACCACTGCAAGTCACAACAAAGACAACTATGATGCAGAGACGAAGAAGAAGAAGCCCAACAATAGCAACCTATGCCAATTTATTCAATCATCGTCAACGAAACCATCAAATGCAATACAGTGCTGTGTTACCGATCACTTCTCTCACACCCGTCTCTAATTTCAAAGAAAAATTCATTTGCATGGCAGCATCTAAAAAATCAACAAAACAAACGACAACATCATCTACGATACCTACTGAATTTCGTCTTAAACTTCCACTATCTGATATGTCACAAACTAAACCACGCGTAATGTCATCACATCGTACAATGATTTCAAATATGCCAAAATCATCTCTTAGTTATCCAACAACAATCCCACATCCAACAACACCATATCGTTTGAATTATTATCATCATCAACAACAACAAGGTGAACGATTATTATATGTTGTTAAGGCACCTGTAACACCTCGTCGAAGTGCTTCAGCTCGAATATCAAATAATGGTTTTAATACATTACCACTTCATCAGCAACCACATTTATTAACATCACCACTTTTACCACGTCCACATCCACATTATGGTCATTTTCTTGCATATCTTCGACGACAATCATTAGCACGTATACGTCGTAAACAAGAACAAGAAGCAGGAAACACAGATAATGTTGAATCAACAATAAAATTTCATTCAAGTAAACCAATAGTACAAACATTTCAATCAACATCACATGCATCTCTTAATATAGCAACACAAGAAATATCATCAATGCCAACAATGTCTCTAACATCAAAACGACGAACACGACCATTATCATCTTATCAACATGTTCGACGTCCATCATCACCAATACAAACAAATTATCGTTTAACTTTAAATCAATCACCGTCATTAAGACAACCACCACCACCATCATCACCAATACAACAAACAACAACAAAAACAACATCAAATGAACAATTACATATATCAACATCAGCCGTTATTACACCAACAAATTCAGTTGTTGATGATATAGCTAAATTATCAACAATAAAAGCTCCATATGAATTGCAATTAAGTGGTGACATGCTTAATTATTGTTATGTTAGTGATAGTGGAGTTAAATATCAAGGACAATTACTTTCTACACCTGTTTAAAAAAGTTTTTTTTTTTTAATGTTTGGTTATTGTAAAAGAAAACAAAAGAACTTTTATTTGAAAATTCTCGTAAATACAGACGGTTTCGAGGATGAACGTTTAGTATTTGGTGTTGTAGCTGCAGGTAAATTGTTCGTTGTTGTTGTTGTTGGCATTGGTGAACCTACTTTCATTGGAGATGAAAGTAATAAATTTGCTGTTGATGATGAATTCAATGAGACTTGTGAATCTGGTTTAATTAATTTTGTTGGTTTTTGTGTAAAATTGATTGGTATTGGAGGTGGCAAAGGAATATTTGATGATTTTTCTGTTTCATTTGATATTGTAAAGTGAACTGATGAACTTGATGATGATGATGATGATGGCGAAGGAAAATGAATAATTGAATGTATTGGCATTGTTGTTGTTGTTATTGTTGATGGTTCTTCATCAATTGAATTTGATGCAACAACACGTTCACGTTCTTTTCGTACTTCACGTACAGTTCGATGAAATAATTGTTGTACATATTCATAATCATCAGCTGCTGTTGTTTCACAAAAAGCACAACTAAATTTAGCAGCTGTAGCTTCACCTTCACATTTTGGAATTACTCTAAATAATATAAGATTTACTTTTTTCGTTTTTTTTTTGTCAATATGATTATGGATAATTATTTACCTTAGACGTTCTAAATCAAGTTTATTACCGAGTAACATAAGAACAAGTTCATTTGTTGATACAGTTAAACTTTTTGAATAACTTGTTATAGCATCTAAATAAGCCAGTGCCATATCAAAACTATCTTGTTGAGTTATACTATAGGTTATTAATACTGCATCTGCCCATTTTAAATAATATGGTAAACGTTTATCATCCTTGAGTTCCAAAAAGAAAGAATTCAAATCTTTTATTTATAATTGTTTTTTTTTACTTTTCCATAGGTATCCATGACCTTTACCAATACTTCTTGTTGATCAACAACATCTGGTTTCCAATAAGTATCTTCTATAATCAAAGAAAAATTCATTTCGTTGTATTTTATTATAAAAACACTAACAGAAATGAAAAAAAAAATACTAACCAAGAAAAGGATCATATTCACAAATGAAACGTTTGGTTAAATATTTGACAACTATTGCTGATTTACCAACATTTTGTTTACCAAGTAAAACAACATTAACTTCTTCTTTTGGTAGACTAGCAGTTGATTGATGAGTTTTAATCGAACTACTTATTGGTTTATATCTATTCATGCTGTTTCCTTTTTATACTAAAAAAAAAAGTATATACATAGATATTCATCAACAGTTGATTCTGCAATTCTTTTTCTTTGATCATAATTTAGTGATAAAAATATCTATCTTCACCTTCTATATCAATGACATTATAGAAGAACAAAAGGGCAATAAAATATAGACTGGTACGCTTCTTTCCTAGTTCTTCCACTACAGTTAATATAGTAAAAGTCAGAATAGAGAGGGAGGAAAATAGTGCGCGCAAGATACAAAAAAATGTAGAGAAAAGGCGGTGTGTATGTATGCATAGCGGTAGTAGTACCATCTTCATAATGTGGATGCTTAGTATACATCGAAGAGAGAAGAAAAATCGATCATTAAGAACAGAAGAAAACGTATAGAACATTCTGTGATGTAGAATGCGCATCACGCGCAAGCCAGGACAAGTTTCAGCAGAACCTTGCTCAATCGGCATCATCCATTCGGCTGATGTTTTTCTAGTAAGTAAGTAAGTAAGTACATTTATATTTGGAATAAACTCACACGAATGAATCATTCCGGATATATACACATTACAATCATTATTCTTCATTTCGAGTACATTCCAGTGCAAAACTTTTAAGTAAATTCTTGTTTCCGAAAGAACGATAAGAGTTATATTAGAAATTTTTTTTTTATCATAGATACTATGGACTCTGATCTATCTTATCATCATAATAGAAATGCCCTACCGTCTAATTTTATATGCCGTCTCCAGAGAACATGACCACGTGGATAAGGCTAATTGGTAGAATGAGTCATCTTGAAAGTAGTTCCATTTGAAAGAATACATTAGAATGCATCAAATAGCCTTTTCAAAATTTTATTGGATTGAATTTCGGTACATAGAATATTAAAAAGCCTCAACGAGTCATATAGTTCGAACTATTGAAATCGATTATTTCTTCTCAAATGTTTAATTTGTGATATAGATAAAAGTCCATGTAGAAAAATCTTTCAATTCAAAATTTGTATTCGTTTAAACATATATGTGGAAAATATTTAACCCGCTTAATTTTTCATATCTTCATTTTTCAGTAAAGAAGCAACGAAAAGAACTGAAATTTCCACGATAAACTATTCTGATTATAATCTTTATCTTTCAAATTAAAATTCGATTTTTTTAAAATGTTTTTCAAGGAGATCATGGCTATGTTCAAAAATCAATCCATAGAAAGTCAATTAGAAACAAGAATCTTTTTGATGGTTGTCATAGTTCATTAGAAATTACATGAAGCACACAGTTCTCATTAAAAAGCAATTTGTCATCTAGGGAAAATTTTGTGTGAAAAAAAAACATTAGGCAAATCGAATAATTTTTAAAAAGATTCAATCAAAATGACTTATTCGATCATCTTGCCTTATCCACGTAGTCACGTTCTCTGAAGACGACGCATAATATTAGATGATAAAATATTTTTACTACCATGATACGATAGCTCAGGATCCATACTATCTATGATAAACAACTATCGTTGATACATCTTATCGTTCTTTCGAGTATAAAAATTCACTAAAAAGTATTGCACTGCACAGCACTCCTAATGGAGTAGAATAATTATACTTGTCATATCTAGATCTCCAGAGTAACGCCTCCATTTAAGTTTATTCCTAACTTAAATGTATTCACCTATTATAAAAATATTAGTCAAATCGATGATGTCGATTGAGCAGTGTTGGTCATGACTTAAATGAAATGCTCGATTGACAAAAAATAAAAAATATCTATTTATTTATTTATTTATTTATGGACAGTTTTTTGTAAAATCATATTCCCAACATTGATAACCATAGACTCTATTATCCATTCGATCAATATTTTTAAAATAATCATATTGAATCCATGCTGAACGACAATCACATTTGAATAAAACATTTGTTGGATTAATATCAATTAATGATGCTGGATTTGATTCAAGAAAAGGTTGAAAAACATTTTCATCTAAATATGTTATATTTGTATGATAAAAACGTATAAATACAAAACGATTTCGAAAACGACTTAATGATGTTAATTCAAAACTAGTTGAATTTAACATTTCACCACCAAGATATATTTCTAACATATTTGATATACCATTATTTAATATCGATCGATTTCGTTGAGCTAATGCATATTTATTTATTTTTGTTAAGTTAGGTGAAAATATACGTAAAAATTGTAAGTTTGGTAAATTATAAAAAGCATAATCACCAATTGTTGCAATTGGTTGACTTCTATTTGAATATTCAAGACCAAACCATATATGAGTTAAATGTATATGATTAAATGCATAATTTGGTATATATTTTAAACGATCATTATGCATACTAAGACGGCGTAAATATCGAAATTGTTGTATTATTGAAAATATAGTATCACTATCAGATAAATTTGTATTTAATGTTTGAAATATTTCAACATGATTTTTAAAATAAGAAAAAGCATTTTTATCAATTGTTGTTAATTGAAAATTATCTTGAAATATTAAACTTTTAAATGTTATATTAATAAAAACATTTTCAGGTAAATGTTTTATCGTTGTATTATATAAAAGAAAACTATCAAAATGCATTGCATTTTCATCATCACTAGATATTATATTATTAAATGAAGTAAGTTTTGAAAATATTACTTGTATATCAAATGATGATTTGTGTATATGTTCACATATAATTGATTTATTCTGTCTAGTAATTTTTTCAGGATTATTATCATCAAATAATAAATAAGTATGAGATGGTATAATAGATTTACATGAACATGGTTTAGTTACAAAATTCGGTGGACATTCACAATTAATTAAATGAATGTATTGGTTGAAGAATATAATAATAAATAAAAATAGAACTTTACTAAACATAATCTATCGATCGATGAATGTTAAAATAGTCCAAAAGAACTACTAAAAGCAAATGTCAAAATAAAATCTGAGTTAGTTGTTTGGATTTGCTGTAGAGAAAGAAAACGAATAACGCTCATGACATTACGACAACCGATATGATTAATTTAAAAACAAAGCACAACATTTTTTTTTGTTGACGTAAAACAAAATGGTTTCGTTTCGCACGGATTAATAGTGTATTATGTACTTGAACTTTATTTATTCAAAAAACGGAGACGCACAAGAGGCTAAATCTGTTCACTAGTATTTTTCTTCACTAATTCTATTGAATCATATGTCAATGGGAAAAGTATGTTGAGACCAATGTTTTGATATCATGTTTGTGAGGTTTTGCATGAATTTTGAAAGCTAAAAGCTATCAACAAAGAAACGCCACATGAGTCAATTATTCGAATAATCCATCTCACAACAATGAGTTCTATTTAACAACGACTTTTATCTTTCAACAAATATTTTATTGTAAAAATTGCAGTGACTCAGAATTGTGTTATTGTTCATGTGATAGCCTTTTTAAAAAACTACAAAATCATACATTTTTCAAAATCAGAAAAAGTTTGGACATTTAACAAACACCATAGCACAACTTTGTCCAACTGCCGCTTTGTGAATTTTTTACAATTTCTTTTTCGTCCGATCCATGAGGAACACTACGAATGAAGTTTTCGATGAAAAAAGAAAGTTCTAGAAATTCTTTAAATTGTACATAGATCATCTCACATCTTTATACTGATTTCGAATACCATATTAATTTTGATACAAGTTCAACTTTTGTAATTAAAGTCTTCTAAATATTGATTAAGAAGACAAAACTACATTTGGAAAAAAGGGTGCTGTAAAAATTTTTTAAGTAACCAGATTGTTTTGAATTTGGAATCAAATATTTTCTGAAAGAGAAGAGTTGATAATAAATACAGCAAATATACTAATAGTGTCTATCAGCACATTCAATATGTATCTTGTTAAATCAAACAATGATTTAATAATTTATATACGGAATTTATGCATTATTGAAGAGCTGTGAAATTTATGATTTCAGCAATGTTGTGCCTTGTCTAATTATTCTCAAATAGAATTCACTGTGATAGGATGAATTATTCAGATAATGACCAATAATGCAATTCTTTGTTGATAGCTTTTAGTTTTCAAAGTTCATCCAAAACTTCATGAAACCAATAGCAAAACGTTGATCTCAACATGATCGTTTCGTTATCAACTGATTTGAAATTGTATGCGTCACGCCCCTCCTTTAAATACAGGTTGATCTTGACGATCATAACCAACAATATTGAAGTTTTCTATATCTTGTTATTTATAAAATGGTCAGAAATGCAAATATACTCTCATTATTCGTTGTATTAAATAATAATCACAGCATGAATTAGTCTTCAAAACTTATTTTTCTACAAATGATGGTCTATTTGTAACACTAGCATGGTTTATGTATAGATAACTCTACGAAAATACAATACTTATGTTTTGACATATGAGATCTATAATAATTAATACAGACAACTAGAAAGATTGTAATAGAGAATAATAACTGTTGAGAATAATGAATATAACGAATTCATCGATTTAAGTAGAATAGACACGTAGGTTAGTCCTGGATTTCTGTTTATTATGTTCTAGTTTTTGATGACATACTTTGACTAAAGAATTAGTTTGTTGCTCAAAATCTGTTGAAGATTAATTCTTATGGATTTATTCCATAAATTAACAAATTTCGATTGTATGATTTGTTTTTTCATAGTAGATGAGTACTATTGAGGGAGACAAATAATGGAATTCAAAAAAGAAAAAATCACAACTTTCATGATTTTTCTATCAAAAAAAAACGCCGAAGAACAAGTATTTCGAATGATAAAACAGATATTAAAAAAAATCGATGTATTTTCAATATCATCGATAACAATAAACATTATAATCAAGCAAATGTAATGAATATAAGTTTTAATAAAAATCATGAAATTTAATTCATGAAAGTGTTTATTTTAATCAATGAAATTAAAATACATCAATTTTAATGTCCATTTTCATTATATGAATGCCAAAGTTTTTTTTTGATTTTTTTTTAACACCTGGAAACACATTCAT